AAAAAAAAGGTGTTACTTTAAAAAAAAAAAAACTTTTTTTCCATGTCTTAAATATATAATAAAAGAGAGAGAGAGAGAGAGAGAGAGAGAGAGAAAGTTAAATTTTTAACCATATTAATCAATAATAAATAAAAAATATTGGGGGGGGGAAACAATAAATAATTGAAAATAATAATAAAAAAATTTTTTTTATTTGTTGGTGAAATTTTTTTTATTTAAAAAAATCCTTCTATACTTAAAAATTTGACAACCTTGTTCTCTATGTTTTATACCTTAAGGTATACTTGAATAAAAAAAAAAACAAATAAATAATAATAATAATAATATTCATTCACGTTTAAAAAAAATTTTTGTTGTTGTTGTTGTTGTTGTAAAGAGTAAAATTGTAAAGTCTTTGGTTGTATTATTATTATTATTATTATTACCTTGAAAATTTGTGTGGGTATCACGACTCTTAATTTTTTTGACATAATTGAAATCTTAAAAAAAAAAAAAAAAATAATAATAATAATAAATTTTTAAACCCTTTCAAATGCATTGTCATTACAAAATAAATTTTAATAAAAAAAAAACAGTGGAAATGAGGAAAAAAATAAAAATAAATAAAAAATAAATAAATAATTTTTTTTTTTATAATTATAAAATATTGATAAAGCTTCCGAAGTCGAGAGTGTGAAGGTCATTGCGCATCTACCATTATTTACACTTAGACCCAACCTTGAAATTCTAAATACTTTTATAAATGAAAAACTCACCTAACTAACTAACTAACTAATTTTTTTTTTTTTCTGCATTAATATTAAACGATTCTGTTTATATATGCATATTATTATTATTAATATTAGTCACAACCTTTAAGGTACGATTAATTAAATATATATATATATATATTTATAAAATCATTCAAAATTTTATTGTTTTCATTTCATTTCTTCTTCTTCTCCTTCTTTTTATTTATTTAACATAAAAAATTTTTCCAACTAAAAATAAAAAAAAAATATAAAATTATAATAATAAATAAAAATAAAAAAAATTATATAAAAAAAATAATAATAATAATAATAATAATTTCCAACAATATAAATATAAATAAAAATTTTAGATACGTATTTTATATTAATTAAAGCGACCGAAACGAAAAAATCACAATAAATTCATTTTTTTTTTTAGCACGTGTATTCATATATATATCACGTGATGACAACAATATAATTTAATTGCACTTTTTTTTTATATTAATATTTAATATATCATCACATTTAAACCCATCAACAAATCAACGCACAAAACCAACAAAAAAAAAAGGCTTAAATATTTTTTTTTTATTTAAATTTTTGCTATCGTGTTAGTTTTCATAATTATAAAATATACTAATAATAAGTTAGTTCATTATAATATATATATAATATATACTATCGTTTGTTATTACATTAATTAATTAAATAAACTTTTTTTTTTTTTTTTTTTTTCTAAGGGTTAACGTTTTTTATTATTATTATTATTATTTAATACTGTTAAAGTTAAATTTTAAATACGTAAAAATATTTTTTTTCTTTTTTTTTTTTTTTGTTATTAATTAATTGCAAACAAAACGAAAAAAAAAAAAAAATTTACAAAATTTAAAAAATAATTTTTTAACATTTTTCTTCTTCTTTCTACATTTCGACCGTACAATTATTTTAAAATGGCACAACATTCAATCGTAAACTTTCCTCCTTCGTTTTTTTTTTTTTTCCTCCCCATCATTGAAAATCAATCATCGATTGTGATTTATTATCAATTATGTAATTTTTATACGGTGTGCTCGTATCTTTACCATTATTTAAATTTCCTTCGCCTGTGTTTATCAATTCTTTTATTCTTTGTAAGCAAAATTTTGATCCCGATTCGGCTTCTTTATTTATCTGAAATTTGATAAAATAAGTATTACGAATTGTACCTTCTTTTTCTTTTTGGTTTGACTTTTGATTGATGAGTGAAAAGAGGTATCGTACCTTACAGAGATTTAAAAACCCGTGCGGCAAACCTTCCAATATGTCGAGAGTCACTGTTATACCTAATTTTTTTAATTTTTTTGCAAACATTACGCAATCGTCTAAACAAGGATCGAATTGTACGCTCTGAAAAATATAAAAAAAAATTTTTTTAACGGAATTAAGGGGATTCAATCCAGGTTTTTAAAACAATAAGAAATATTTACACATATACTGGTGGGAGGGAGTTGATTTAACATATCATCGGGAGCCCAATAAGGGCTCAAATAGGGATCTTTCGGTACGGAAAACTTTAAATTTTTCAACGAATTCGTATAATTGGATTCGATGAAATCCATTTTATCGAAACAATAATTTTTCGTTTCCGTTTTGAAAAATGCATTCCCAAGGAAATCCGATATTTTCCTTTTGAAAAAATTCAAAGTGCTCCCCGAATTTTCATTCATCATCATCGTTCTTTTCTGACTTCCGGTCATGCTAGAATTTAATATTATGTTGGCTTCGTTTAATTTTTTCTCTTCTTCCCAATCTTCTGAATTTTTTTCCAACGTGTAATTTTCATTCGAAACGACGCATTCGTAAAATTCTTTTTCCCTCCTACCCCTACTACCACTACTACTACTATCGGAATTTTCAATGTCACAGACTAATTTTTTATCACAGGTCGTCGATGTCCCGTCCGAATGAATTTTATTATTGTATTCTTCGGCGGTAGGTACGCCTTTTTGATCTACCTCGAAATCCGGGCACGCATACGCTAAAAATCATTAAACAGGTTCACAACACAATCAATCAGGTTTTTTTTGAATTTGAGGTAAAATATAAAAGAGAATAATCGTGAATACCCTTTAAACATCGAAGTAAAAAACCAAGAGGCAATAAAGGATCCATCAAGCACAGTAACCTTGATGGTGATGGAGTGGAAGACACAATAACTGGAACGTAAGCAACGAAAAGACCGCTCGGTTTTCTTATGTTATACTCAATTGATTTTAATGTAGTTCCTAATATAAGATTCGCGCCAGCGGAATCTCCTGATCCCCCCCAAAAAAAAAAAAAAAAAAAAAAAATTCATTTTAAAAAACTAAATGTCTTCGGCACCATTTAAAGATTTGTTTTTTTTTCACATACCAGCTAATATAATATTTTCTCCTGTTGAACCCAATAAATGAGAATTTTTTAAAATCCAACAATACGTATAAAAAACTTCTTCTAATGCTCTTGGAAAAGGAGCTTCTGGAGCTAAAGAATAATCTGGAAAAATTGTCTCATGTTATTAAGAGTGCATTAGTGGCGGGAAAAGAGAATAATTTGTTTTACACATGTGAATAAGGACAATGCTCAATTACCAACTGAAATAATAGGAACATCTAATTCGTTAGCCCAATCCCTCAGGTACACTTCATGAGTTTTAGATGATTGAGCAACAAAACCTCCTCCGTGACAATGCAAAATTAAACTTTTCGATGGTGGATTGAATTTTCCTTTTTTATTACCATCCGACGTTCCATAATTCTAAATTTTAAATCTAATTAAAATATTTTTTAAAAAACTAATAGTGATTATTGCAAATTTAAATTTGCTTTTAAAACACTAAACGGATCATCGTGGAAACCTTACCATTCCCTGTCTTCTGCTTCTGCTTAGTAACCTTACTTGGATTGAATTTACGGGTATGTGTGATGAAGGTATTGGAATTTCAATTTCTTCTCCATTTAAATTCAAAATGGATAAAGGTTCTGAAGGGATTTTAATTTGATGGTTGATTGCTAAACTGCGACATATGAAATCAGGGATTTTTTTCATGAGCTCTAAAAAAAAAAAATCATGCATTACCATTTTTGAAATAAGTGAAAATTTTTTAGTGAACTACTTTCTAAATTTTGTATATAACATATTAAACTTACCAGATTCAGTTAAAAACCAAAATGATTTGCAAAAATCAATGCTTGCATTTTGTGATATATTAACAATTCTTTGTGCCCTAAGTTCAGGGTCTATTAAAAATTTACTACCAGAAAATAAGCTTAAAGCTTTGGCTGAAAACCCTCCAAAATTGTAATATATTTCACTAAATGATGCCATAAATATTGAAATAAATTTTAATACCGGTTGAACAGAAGAGCAAAACTATAATTAAAATAATATTACTGTAAACCTTGAATTTGTAACAAAAAAAAATCATAATTAAATCATTCAATTATATATTTTATTTCAACCTGAATACCCATGCATCTCCCATAAAAAGCAAACTGATTTATATTTTCAGATTGTTGAATGAGAATATCGGAAAAATGCTCAGCAGAAGGAAATAAATCTCCAGTATTGCTCCAGCTTAATAATATTTCTAAATATTTAAGGCAAGACAACAAGGAAGCAATTAAACGAGAAATGGCTTCTACTTCTCTAAAAAATTTAAATAAAATTATTTGTAGTATTTAACATTAGCACAAAATAAATAAGAGTAAATACTGTTTAATCTAAATAATAAATATTTTTTTTGTAAGCAAATATAAATTCATTGACTTTTCGACAAATCGACATTCATAAAACATTTTTAAAATTTTTGTTGAAGGTCAAATTTTTGTAATGGAAGAAAATACTCACTTGACATAAAATCCTTTACGAAAAATTATAGAATCTTTATTAGCTGCTATGTAATTAGACAATTCGAAAGCATGTTTAAAACTGGAATGCACTACAGCAACAAAACTTCTGTATCCATTTCCAGGAGTTTTTTCATCAAAATCAAAATCTGACATTACTTCCTTGATATTATTTACCAAAGGTACAATTAAATTTACATGATCAATTATACCTAAAAATTTAAATAACATAAATTTTATAAAATGACAGATAAATATGTAGAAAGGAATATTAAAAAAAAAATTTAAGGTACCTATGAAACCCAACACCATTCTCTGACCGTATTCTGAAATGTCTTTTTCATAATGCTCAGCATTTTTTGAGCAAATGTGTAATAATTCATCAATGTATGCATTTCCAAATGGTTCTTCCATTCTGCTGAGCTTAAAATAATAATTTTTTCACATTTCGGAATTTAATAATAAATAATAATCTATAGAAATTTGTCAGAAAACCCAATTATAACCATCTGAAAAAATTTATTAATGAAAAAAAACGAGAGATTAAAAAATAAAAAACGTTAAAAATTCATTTGAAACAATTAAAAATTTTTTAAAAATAATTAAACGATTTTTTTTTTAATCGTGTTGTAAATTAAATATGTGTTAACCCACAATTTTTGAACCATTGGCAAGTTATTTTATAACAGAAAATTTAAAACATTGTAAATGTCAAACAAAAGAATCTTTAGATGTCAGCAAAAAAATGACAACTTTGACGTTATTTGCTCCGGTAATTCGTGCAATTTACTTTTTTGCTACAATTATAAAAAACCAAACTTGTACCAACCGTAATTTTGACAAATTCAAATTTTTTTTCGAACGACAAAATTTTTATTTATTGAAACTCTTATTATTTATTATTATTATTTACACAAAACGGTAAAAAAAACTTAACTTTTTTTGTTTTTTTTTTGTTTGTAAAAAACACAATCTGTATCAATAATTAAACATTCCAGTTTTTTTTTTTTTAAAATAAGAAATCACTCAATAAGTTTTACACACAAACTTGGTTTTACTTACAGAAAATCTAAAAAATTTGGGTTAAACCTAAGTAGTAAATAAAATGTATGATACATTTGCAAACGAAAACGAGAGGGGAAAACACATTGGTTCTTATCAAAGTTTTATAAATATATGTCAAGAAGGAAGACGAGGGGAAAAATCGTATACGAAACCATTAATTGCTAGAATTCGATTTTTAAAATGTAACCGTCAACGAATGTATCAATTCGTAGAAGGATGAACGGACATATTGAATTTCTGTCATGGCGTAGCTTAACCATAAAATGTATGTAATATTTTATTTATTTATTTTTTTTTAAACGAGCAACGCATTTAAAAAAAGAAAAAATTTATTGTTAGCCACAAACCCAATTAATCATTTTTAAGAAATTTTAAATTGTTCAAAGTTGTGACATTAGTAATTATTATTTAAAAAAAGGTGGGATAAAAAATTGGATGAGGGTCGACCATACATCCTCATTTTGTTTAACGTCCAATCTTAATAATCGACCTAATAAAATTTCTAGCCTGTTTTTTCGTTTTTTTTTGTTTTTGCTGTTTTCTTTTTGATAAACTCTTTTAAACGATAAAAAAAAAATATAAACAATTCAAAACGCAATCGAATTAAATAATTATTATTACTCTTATTGAAAATTTCTTTATAAAAATTACACAAGGTTTACTTTTTGCAATAACGGCCATTTTTCATGGGAATTTTTTTAACATGAAGACAATATTGAAAAATTTATTTTCAAAAATTCGACATGAAATAAGGGTAGCAGGGAGGTAGGGGGGAGGGAGGGGGGAAACGTTTTTACCAAAAAAAAAGTAATTTTTTCTTTCAGAGTTATTATAAATAAATTTTTTTTTTTTTTTTTTATAATGATTAATTAAATTAATTAAAAACTTCAGTTAAGAACAAGTGAATATGTGGATGTCTCTCGCCTCCCTTTTACATAAATCAAACGAAGAAATAAATTTTTTTTGATAATATCAATCAGTTGCGCGGTCTTGACACTCATTGAACGCATATGGGATCCCATGAAATCCATGCTTGGTCTATACAAGAGATTAGTTAGGGTGTTTCATCATTCACTGGATGACTGAATGATTTTTTAATAAAAAAAATATTTACTCTTCTTCTTTTTGTTATTATTATTAAACAAGTGCGTGTATGTATGTGTGTGTGTGTGTGCATGTGTGTGTGTTATGCGTGTATGTGATTTTAAATTTTTTTTAATTAACGATTTGTTTTTTACTGTTGTTGCTACTGTTTGTGTGTCGCAGGACCGGTATTTTATTTATATTTAAAAAAAAACTTTTTAATTGGTAAGAATAAAAGAGAAATTTTTTTTATTTATTAATTTTTATTAAATATTATATATTATAATAAATAAACGTCGATTGTAATAAAATAATTATTTTTTATCAATTCATTGACGGAAGCACAGAAAACTTTTTGTTAATTGAGATAAAATTTAATGTCTCGACTGTAAATTTTTTTTTTTTTTAAACAAATCATTATTATTATTATTATTAAATGTTTTAAAAATAAGTTAACTTGCATATATATATTGTTTTTTATTTGTAATAAATCATTATTTTATTTAAAATAATAATTTTTTTTTTTTTTTGGAAAGTTGACATTAACAAATAAATTTTTTTTTAAAATATGTTTTAATAATTTAGTCATTAAATGTTAATGACTCGTTTTAAAAAAAATATGAATCAAAGCTTTTAAAATTATCAATAATTAATTTTTTTTTTACAAATATTATGTGGTTAAGATGGGGGGAGAGGGAGGGGAAGGGGGGGGAAAAGGAAAACCACAAAAAACGTAAAACGTTTTTCCAACGAAATGATAAATTTTCAAAAATGATTTATTGTTATGTTAGTAGTAATAGTAAAAAATTTTTTTTTTATTTTTATTACAGGACAATTAATTAATAATCCCTCGGGAAGAGGGGAATTTTAATTGTATTTAATATGAATTACACGATATCATCAAATGAACTTGAAAATGTTCATGTCAACAAAACTTCAATTATCGTCGACGTCGAGTTGTCCAGGTATATAAAAATTTTTTTTTTTTTTATATTTATTTTTTTTCGTTAAATAACGGTAAGTAGTGGTAGAAAAACTCGCAATTTTTATGTCTTTTATTAACGGTCATTATATTATTTTTTTTTTTTCTTCTTTACAGATTTTCTCGTGAGTTACTCACATTTGCTGCTGTCGTAACCGTTATTATTATGGTAGCAGGTGTTATTGGAAATTTATTAACCATTTTAGCATTGATAAAATGTCCGAAAATACGTAACGTCGCATCAACTTTTATAATGAGGTGAAACCATAAATATTTAAAAAAAATGAACGACGAATTTTTTTTTAATAATTTTTAATTAATTAATTTATTTATTTATTTTTTACAGTCTTTGCGTCGCTGATTTTATTTTTTGCCTTTTTGTTCTTCCATTCAGCAGTTCACGTTTTATTCACGGAGGATGGATTCATGGACCTTTACTTTGTACCTTATTTCCATTTTTAAGATATGGTAACATAGGTGTTTCCCTTCTTTCGATAGCCATGATCACGATAAATAGGTACGACCTACACTCCTTTAAATTTTTTTTTTTTTTTTTACGTAACCGTTAAAGTAATTTATTTTACAGGTACGTCATGATAGCACATTACAGTTCGTACAACAGAATATACAAAACGAAATACATAGCAGTCATGATAGTTTTGTGCTGGAGTTTAAGTTATGGAATGATATTACCTACACTTTTTGGAATATGGGGTGAGCTTTTACCCTTTTTAATCGTAAAAAAAAAAAAACAATTTTATTAATAAAATTTTTGCATTTAGGTAAATTTGGAAAGGATATGAAATTGGGAACGTGTTCAATAATACCTGATGAAAATGGACGTTCGGCTAAAACCCCTTTATTTATAATTGCATTTTTAATACCATGCATTGCCATATGTTGTTGCTATGCAAGAATATTTTGGGTGGTACGAAGGTATGTAAACAACAAGAAGAAAATACCTTAAACTTTTTTTTTTTCATACATAATAAATGGCTGATTTCTTTCCAGCTCAGAATTAAGAATACGTAAACATGCTGTCGATCAATATTGCGTAGCCAACAACGAAGGAAATCAACAACTGAATAAAAAAAAAGAAGAAATAAAATTATTGAAAGTAAGAAGAAACGAATGGAGAATCACTCAAATGGTTTTGGTTATTTTTTTAAGTTATTTATTTTGTTATTTACCAATAACAATTGTTAAAGTTACCGATAAGGATGTTAAATATCCAGGTATTATTAATCTATAAAATTGAGTCGGAAACGGATTTATGTGTAATTTTTATTAAGAAATTTTTTTTTATATTTAAATTTTAGGTTTTCACGTTATGGGATATATATTATTATATTTTAGTTCTTGCGTTAATCCCATTATTTATGTTATTATGAATAGTCAATATAGGCAAGCTTACATGACGGTTTTATTTTGTAGAAAAGCATATAGTCCAACATCAATTCATAACAATCACAGTAGTTATGCAGGTAAAAGTACCCCACGTGATCAATCAAATTAATAATAATAATAATTTAATTAAAAAATTTAATAAATAATTTTTTAAATTTATTACAGAGAAATCAAAGGATGGTTCGAATAAAACAATTTTATCAAATACTCAAATAACGTTAAACGCATTAAAAAATAAAAATTGATTTTTTTTTTTTCAAATATTTTTTTAATATAAAAAAGACTGTAAATTTATTATTATTATTATGAAAATATATTTAAAAAAGAGTTTTTTTCTTTAGGTCGTTTTAAATATTAATTATTTTGTAATAGGATGTTAAATAACCCCAAAAAAAAAAAATATATATTTATGATTAATTTTTTATTTATGTTAGTTTTATGTAAACATTGATAAGATTATATATATAAAAAAATATATAATAAAATAAATTTTTTTTGAATAAATATTTACTCAAGTATCGATTGTAAGTGAAATTTATTTTTATTTTTACGGAACCTTTTTTTTGAATTAAGGATAATTTGAAATAATATTTAATTAATTTAATTAAATATTAAACGTTTTTTTGTTGTTGTTAGAGAACTCAATGTAATTACCGTTAAAAAAAAAAATTAAGTTTAAATAAGTTTAAATATTTCGCAGCACAATTTGTATTTTTGACTTTTAACAGCAAGAAAACTACGATTACTTTTGCTAGAGTAGGTTCGCATTAATTAATAATAAAGTAATTATCAAAAGAGAAATGAATTTTTTAAAACAAAATGTTCGTTAAATTTCAATATTAAGTTTGAAAATGTTATGACCATTCATATTTGTTAATATTTTCAAAGTCATATTTAGTTTGATAACCTGCTACTAGAGGTCTCTACCGAATAAAAATTTAGCAATGGCATACAATTGCAATATAAATATATACAACTTGATTTTAGAGTAAAAATATATATTTTTTCAAAACAGTGATGTTTTGTTATTATTATTTAAAATTATATTTTCTGTAACCGTTATAAGTTTTTACGTATCATTATTGATTTTAAATACTTTTGTTGTGTGAGTTTTTTTCAGCAAAAAGTATGCCAGATAATTTATTAACAGGCTATTATATGTGCCACATTGGACGAACAAAGTGTAACAGTACCGACAACCGCGTTCTTACATTAGAAATTAATCACAGTAGGGTTTAAGCTAAGGTTTAAATAAGGTTTTGACAATGGAGGGACGAATTTTAAAGCAAATGCCAGCTGAATTAAGGGTTAAAATGGATGCATTAGTTCATGACCTGACACAAGCATTAGAAGAAACCTCTTGCCCTAATTCTGTTAGAATTAAGGTTGGAGTTCGCAGAAGAACTAGATCAACAGGGAACATAGGTGGGTTTATACTATCTGATGATAAAATTTTTTTAACATATTGAAACGTTATGATTGAAACAGGGAAAGTTAAGAAGAATATCGGCGTGAAATTTGAAAATAACTTATAAAGTAGTTGAAGTGAACTCAGTAAAAATATAACCCCCACTTAGAACCTAACGAACCAAAATTATAATTTAAATATACATTTTTATCATCATTAAAGAAAAATACTAAAAAATTATGTTTGTTAATTTAATTTCAGCACTTACAAATCAAAGGACAACTCATAGTGATGATTCCATTAGTGAAAGAATTTATGCAAAAGGCAAAGAATTTTCTAGTTTTTTACAAAGTGATTCAGATGAGGTTAGACTAGCGTACCTTAAAATGTGATTACAATTATTTTCGACTAACTAATTCTTATACTGATTTGAATTTTTTAGGTTTCAACAAATTCTCAAAGACGATTGCTTCCATATCCATTACAGAAAAAAGCATCTCATTTTCATCAGAATCAAAATTTTGAATCAGACTCTGTTAATGAAAATTTTTCTCCATTCCGAACTGGCACAAGACGCAAAAGAAAAATGAAAAGAATGGATACTGACAATGTTGACAATCAAATGATTCTTTCCAGCTCACCGAAAGCAATAGGTAGAATTCAAAGGCCAAGCTTTATGTTCCAATTAGTTAGTAGAAATGTCTTGCCAGCAGCCGGTCCAAGCGGTATTAAAAATGCAAAAAAAAAGAAAGTTTTGAAAAACTTTACGGCCAGTAACAATGAAAGGTTTGTTTTATTTTTAATTATTATTATTATTAATTTTTGTGATAAACCTTTTATTAATTATTTTATTTTTTATTTTAGATTTGACATTTTAATAGGAAAAAGAAAAAGATCATCACGAGACAAATGTCTCGATTTTGAAATGGGAAATAGTTTGCCTATGTCTTCTAGATTGCATAAAGAAGCTATGGAATTGGACAAGGATTTAATGAGTAGCTCAAGTTTATCAAGTTCTGAAAGTGATGCAGGAGTTTTTACAAATGATGAAGGGAGAGAAGGTAAAATGCTTGAAGTGTAATAAACTATGTATTAGTTCATGAGCAAGTCTGTAATGTTTTTTTTTTTTTTTTTTTTTTTTTCAGGAGATGACGAACAATCTGATTGTTTTGGAGATCCAAGAAGAGATGAAGATACAGATTTAGAACCGGAAGATTCAGCTCTTCAAACAATATTAAACAGATCTTTAGAACATATGTCAACAGATACAACTCAGGTAAGTTAAACACTTTCATAAAAAGTTCAAATGTAAAAATTTATAATTTTGTATTGTTAACTAATAATGATGAACATGCGAATAAACTTTAGGCTTATAAAGAAAGAGTTGAATGGCTTAAAGGAAATTTTGGAGCGAGAGAAATTCGTGGTGGAAGGAGAAGGGTTCGTACAGAAAGGCCAGGGTTTTCAGTGTTAACATCTGCCAATGAAAAGTTATCGAAATTCCTTCAAGATTGCGAACAATTGACTCTCAAGTATGTTTTTTTAAATGTTTGTTAATAAACGTTTTTAACCGAGAGGAAAGTAAAAACCATAAATTTATGTCAATTTTAGACTTCATCCGATGAGCCAAGAAGAGAGAGAGCAATTAACATATCTTGTCAATTTGTATTCTTTAAACATGAGGTTGGAATTGACGGAAAATGGTGAAAGTTGTCCAATTATATCAAAAACAAGTAAAACTCCTCAAACTGTCCGAATCGAACAGGTGACGATGAACATAAACGATTTTAAAAAAAGAAGAAAAAGTCCACAGTGCATCAATTTAAGTGTATAGAGTTTAATTTTTAATAATTAATGGAATAATAATAATAATAATATATTTTTTTTAATTTACGTATATTTCGTCAATAATTTTAGTTGACGTTAATATCAAAGTATAAATCATCTTTAAAAAGAAAAAAAATAAAAACACATAATAAATAATTTTTTATAAAATTTCTCAAAAAAAAAAATTTTTTTTTACATTTATTGTAACAACTTGGCAACATTGACTTTTTCCACACACATTCACACACACACACACACACACATTCCTAACATTGTACCTTTTAAGGTATATTTTTTTTAACAAGAATAATAATTAATAAATAAGTTTTTATTTAAATATGTTTTATAATTTTGTTTTAAATTTTATTGTTTTATAATAAAAAAAAATTTTTTTTTTGTTCAAGAATGAAATATTCTGAATGAGTGAATGAAAAGATTAGAAATTCTCGAATTCATTTAAAAAGAAATTTTTTTTATAAATAATAACTTTAAGAATATTTTAATAATATTCTAAATAAAATAATTTATTAAGGTACAAAATTAACAATTAAAAAATTGTGATATAGAACTAATTTGGTTCCAATAAAATTATTGTCTATTTTTTTTTTTTTTTGAAATGACAAAAGCATAAAAAAAATCAATAATAATTTTCAAATAAACAATAAATAATTAAGATCTATATAGTTATAAATAAATAACATTTATTATAATTAATTAATTAATTAGAGAGAAAAAAAAAAAAAAAGAAATTATTTATAAAAATACTTGTGAATTGAAGATTCCATTGTTTCAAAAATGAAAGTTCAAAAAAAAAACCTGTTGAAAAGTAAATAAATATTAAAATGCAAATAAGGAGGACATCATTAATAAATATTTTTTATTATTTTTCTTTTGAATTTTTCAAATATTTATGCATAATAATAAAAATTTGTTTACCTCGTCATGTACGTCCCAATCGTTACCTGGTTATTGTTTTTCTATTAATAAAAATATTTGGTACAGATGTTCATGGTGTCATCTGGCCTGAACAAATTCATTTATCATTTGGAAAATATCCTCAGGAAATAGTGGTTACATGGGTAACTTTTTATCCTACCAGAAATTCCATCGTTTGGTATGGTACTTTACTGGAAGGTCTTACAAATCAAGCAAAAGGATTATCACAAAAATTTATTGATGGAGGACAAAGAGGCACCATTCGTTACATTCACAGAGTTGTTTTATCTCATTTAATACCTCAAACCTTATACGGTAAATACAAATTAAATTTTTTTTAAACCGTTCAATTTATTTATAACCGTTAATCATTATTTATTTATTACAGGTTATCGTTGTGGAAGTCAAAATGGATTTTCCGAACAATACGTATTTAAAACAGTGCCAGAAGACGTGAATTGGTCTCCTCGAATAATTATATTCGGAGATATGGGTTGGAAAGGTGCCGCCATTGTTCCTTTTCTTCAAAAAGAAATAATGGAGAACGAAGTAAATGCTATTTTTCACGTTGGAGATATTGCCTATAATATGGATTCGTTGGATGGTTTGGTCGGAGATGAATTTTTGAGAATGATACAGCCCATAGCAACCTCAGTACCTTACATGACAATAGTGGGAAATCACGAACAAGCTTAGTACGTTTTAAGTCATGCAGTCATGAAAATTCTGATTGAGAATGACATAGCAAAATTTAAATGTGGCGGATTATCGGGTTGAGAGAGTTTAACCGCCACGGCGTCTACTTATTTGCAGCAGGTGACATAAAACAAATTAAGTTTAAGGACAAAAAATCATATATATATATATATATATTCCCATTTACTTTACAACTTGCATAAAAAATTGATAAAAAAAAAAAAAAAAAAAAAAAAAAAACGTTTTACTATCCTATTATTATCAACATTATTATCATTATTTTTTTTAATTTTGTTTCATTTTCAGTAATTTTTCACACTATAAGAACAAATTTACAATGCCGGGAGAAAGTGACGGTTTATTTTACAGCATCAATTTGGGACCGGCTCATTTTATTTCATTTTCCACCGAAGTTTATTACTTTCTAGAATATGGTTCCGATTCGATAATGACACAGTTTAATTGGTTGAAAAAGGATCTAATGGTATCGTCGCCATAAAATTTTATTGATTAACGTTTGAAAACTGTTAATAAATACTTTATGTTTGTTTGATTAGAAAGCTTCATCGTCCGAAAATCGGAACCGCCAACCTTGGATATTCGTTTTGGGTCATCGTCCAATGTATTGCAGTTCGGATACAAATGAAGATTGTTCTTACGATTCGAATATATTAAAATGTTGCGTTATGAATTCCCGTGTGTACGATTTGGAAAATTTATTTCACGAGAACAAAGTAGACATTATGTTTTCCGGACACATGCACTATTACGAACGTACATGGCCTATTTACAAAAATAAAGTTTATAACGGAAGTTATTGCGAACCGTATAAAAATCCAAAAGCTTGTATTCATGTCATAACCGGCGCCGCTGTACGTAATTATTTCACTTGAAAAACTTTTCCAAATTGAATAAAACACACAAAAATGTCTTCTTATTGTTTGTTTTTTAGGGTATGATAAGCGGAACCGAAGTTGCTTCGAACATCCGTCAAGATCGATTTCCGTTTTATAATAATGATAATAGTTATACGGTTCTTACTATCGTTAATGGAACGCATTTACGCTTAGAACAAATTTCTACAACCAAAGGTGGTAAAGTTATTGATTTTTTTTGGTTAATTAAAGATCAACTTTAAAATTTAATTACTTTTAATAGTTTCTTTTTGTTAAACTCAATACTTTAATGTACTTACAATAATAATAATAATAAAATGATTAGGTAAGAATTACCTTAAAAAAACTTTTTTGTTATTTTAACGATGATGATGATGATGATGATTATTAATTAAAAAAATTTGAACACTTTTTAACAAAGAATAAATATACATATATTTAATAAGGTATAATTTATAATAAAAATTATTGTATAAAAATTTTATTATTTTTGACTTTCGGCACTCAAACATATCCATTTTAAATTGTTTATGTTTCCAAACCTATAATTTATATTTGAATCAACTGGTATATGCCAACAATAACTTTCCTCTGTTTCTGTGTCAATACTTTTAGTAACATAAGGCAAATAGGAATGTGTTTTCGGTGGCATCTGAAAATAAATACAGGTATTGTCGATTGTGATAATAAAGTTGTATGTAGATAAAAAAAAGAACAGAAATATGATTTTTATGATGCAAAACTATAAAAACTTACAATTTTATTCGATTGAATAGCAGTATACTGATGAGACCATTGCCATTTTATAAATACATTTTTTAATTTCGAATCATCAATAAGTGAACTATGAGATTTTAAAAAATCTTTTGAAAAAAAATAAGTGTTTAAATCTTTTTGCATTGCTGCATAAATAGTAAAGAGATCATCAGAACTTCTGTAAATAAAAACGAATCATGAGAGTCTCGGTTCGAAAAAATCAAAAAACTAATTTTAAGAAAAAAATTTTTTTTTTTTTTTTTACTTACAAATTATCTGTGTAATAATATTGACAATGATTTGAATTGCAAATTTCTTTTATCTCATTTGAAGTATGTTTTCTAGTGATGAACAAAATTTTTTTATTTTGTTTTTCAAAATATTGTATTAAGTTTGAAACCTAAACATTTAAAAATGTAGAATTATTTTTTAGCACTGGTATTATTAATTAATTATTTATATTAATTACTAGATTTTTCATTACCTTCAAATTCTTCGATTGTAAATATTTTATATTTAAATGGTCTATGACAACATCGTAGGGATCAGTTTTTTTTAAAAAATGTAAAAATCTGTTCAACTCTTTATCCGTAGAATTAATATTGATATTTCTTCCGATAAAAACTTTTGAAATAAAATATTTTTTTAATTTTTCTAATTCATCCATCGTTATGTCTGCCTTACCAATATTTGATTTACATTGAGAACAAAATCCTGTATTGCTAACAGATGTTATTTTAACACTCCATTTCAAGTTATGCCTTTCATTTAATATATTTACTAAAGAAGTTAAAGACTCGAATAATAATGGATCTGGTAAAAATTGTGAATTTTCATGGCAGTAAGAAATCAGGTCAGAAATTAAAGAAACATGAAATTTATTATTTTCTGCCATTCTTTGACAGTAATTTAAATATGCTTCGAGAATTTTATTATTAATTAATAACGAATGTTTTTTTATTAAACTCCATGATTCTTTCGCATCATATTCAAAGTTTGTACTCACTAAATAATTAAGTATGGAACTACTATTGAGATTATCATTATTGTAAAAAATTTCTTTAAGTTCATTTAAATAAGATTCATTTAAATGACCGAAAACTATAATAGTTTGTAAAAAAATTAATGGATTTTCACTCATATGAGGTTTAATTGTACTGTAAATGTGATGGAGACAATCATTATATTGTCCAGATTTTTTTTCATCTTTAGCCAATATTGACATTACTTTATAACATTCTGAAACAGGTATAGTTTTACTATAATCGCACGTTAAATATTTATAATAAGACACTGTGAAATCAATCATTTTAAAATGTCCAAGAGAATTTAAAATTAAAGAATGAGAATAATCAAAATTAGAATTAATTTGACCGCAAGCTGTAAATATTTCATTTTTTATTTCATTCCAAGGAATATTATTATTTAAATTTGAATAATCTTGTATTATTTTATTAGAGAGCAAAAGATACTCATGCTTGACTACAGGATTTAATAAATTGTACGAATTATTAACCGAACTTAACCATAATTTTGAATTATTATTAAAATTTAAATTAATAATTTTTTGTATAGTAGCATTAAGAAGTCGTAATTTAAACATTGTATATATACATATATTTATAAAAGCATAAAAAATTCAAGTTTTTTCCGAGTTAAAAATATTAAAGTAACGAAAAGTTAATCATTATTAAAACGTAAATAAAAACACCACCATTTGTAAAAAAAAAAAAAAAAAATAATTTTCATAGAGCTCAACTTAAAAGAGTGAGAAAAAAATGTAAGTGAGGCTATACTTAAAAAATTAGGAAAAATTATGACAAAATATAATTTTATTAAGTTTTAAATAATATATTATATAGGTAATAATTAAATAATTTTTAAAGATTTTTTTTTTTTTAAATTGACAAAAAATGTATAAGTATTTTAAGTTTGTTATAAAAAATTAAATATTTATCTATAGAAACTGGAATTTTAAGTTCACTGCCTTCTAAACTCGGTACAATTTAATCATAATATCATGTTTCATTAATTTTGTTACAGTGATTTGTTTGTGTAATGAGTCATATTTTAATATAAAAAGTAATGTTTTAGTTCCATGTTTTATCGTAATTATATTTTTTATTTACATTAATAATAAATAGTACTATTTGCAAAAAAAATCACAAAAGATTTAATAATTAAATAACATGCGGAAGCATTCCTAATTTCTACCAAGGTTAGATATCACTTATTTACTTTAGCTAATTTATTATGAAATAACTAGTTAATTAATTTTGCAATTTATTAAAAAAAAATAAAATTTTTTCGTTTTTTAAACAGACATCCTAATAATTTCCAAAAATGTTTTCGATACAATATATTTCAACTAGTTTTAATTATTGTCTTCGTTAGTAATTTACATGTCTGATAAAATAAATTGATACGTTGTAAAAAAAACGAAAACACGTAAATATATATTTACGTGTTTATAAGTTTTAAAATACTTTCAGAAAAATGTTACAATTTTTTTATTATAAATCTTTTACTGACAGTTGTGTACTCATATTAGGGTTACCTATTTTACTGCATTAAAAAATAAAATTGTTTTATCTTTAAAGTCTTTATATAATTAAATTTTAAATGATTTTTTTATTTAAAAGTAACCAAGAACCATTACTTAAATTTTTTAAATAAAAAGTTAAATGTCATTTCGACAACTTATTAATTTGTACAATAAAATTCCAAATAGTTTTTGTTTGCATTTTATCAAATACTAATAATGAATTTTCACAATTTCAGTTTCATGCGAATTTGTATGTCACTTTTAAAAATTAGATTAAAATGGATAATATATAGAGGTGATAAATAATAAAACAGGGAATGTGTACTTTACAAAATACCAAGTCTAATTTAACTTTTCAAATTTCGAATAAAGTAAGATCTAAACATGAGTCGCTTAAAAACTTAGTTTTAATTAATGAAACATCCATTAAAAGTTTACTGACGAGCGATTCTAAAAATAAAAATTCAGATGGAAATTTTACTGTTGAAAATACTCAACAGTATTTTTGTAAGTCGATAAAAAGAGTAGAAGTTCATTTAAATGAAAACTGTGATACAAATGACAATATTAAAAAACCTGGAGGTTCCAGAGGTGAAATGTGTGACATAAATGACAATCCAAATGGCGAATTTAAAGTTCAGGTAAGATTGTATTTTTTTTTCAAATGGAAATTTTTACTATTTTCAATGATGATTCTCCGATTCATTTTTAAACCTGAATTTAAAATAAAAAATTTTAGAAAGAAGAAGGAAATATAAGTGACAATAATGAAAGTGGAAGATCTGAAAGTGAAGCTCCTTGCACAATTGGATTATTGGAAAGATTAATTAGAAGTCATCCAGTCTGGTTTTTACCCGGCATTCAAAGAGCAGGAGCAGTTCATTTATTGCAGGGAAAGGAAGAAGGGGTATTTTAGCAAAATTTTAATTAATTTTTTGAATTTTATCTTAAAAAAATTATATAATTTATTAAAATTACTTTTAATTTTTTTTAAAGAATTTTATAGTCAGGCAGTCATCTCAACCGGATACAATGGCTGTGTCTGTAAGATTACCAGCTGGTAAAGGACCTTACATAGAGCATTATTTAATTCAAGCAAATGAGGGGCAATTAAGTTTAGAAAGCTCTGAAAATATGTTTGAATCGATTCCTAGTCTCATTGCTCATTACTGTCAGTGTTGGTGAGTAAGGTTACCTTTAAAATTGGGAATTATGAAACTTATTTTTTGTACATTAACTTTTCAATTTTTGTAAATTATCTAATTTGTTTATCTATAAAAAATTTTTTAGTGATGAATTGCCTGTAAAATTAGCTTTACCTTCAACAATTCAAGATTCAAAAACTCGACAACAGCTCTCTTCTTTAGCACTTTTAGGTCAGGAATTTTGGAGGTATCCCATGGCCAATCCGAGACCTCCTGAATTTCGTAATGCATCTCCAAATAATAACATGACTGATTCCTTTTCTTCTTCTGATGGTAAGTTAATATTGTTTTATATACATATAAATAACTTCAACGAAAATATTTCAACATTTTTTTTATGTACAGGTAAAAAAAAATTAGTGAAAAACGATGAAGAAATAATTTTGGATTTAGTACCTTTAAGTCAAAATTCGCAACAGTCAAATAATGCATTGATCACATTTAAAGGCTCTTCGGTAAATGCGATTTTGCCTTCCGTAAATGAGTCTAAACCGAAAAGGCCTCAAACTCTCGACCTCATCACATCAAATATAGAAAAGACTGGTTTAGTAAACGATTGCAAAACACCGCCGCAACCTCCCCCGAGATGGGCAAAACCTTTTCAGTCTTCAGCGGCGAAACAACCTTTCACTCCAGACCTTTCCGAATTATGCAAAGTCAATTCGGTTTCTTTTTCTTACGACAATGACGGTTCGAAGCCAAATTCAAAAAATCGATCTTTAGCGTCATCACCGATAGATGGTTTCAATAGAGATTTATCGAGTCCTCAGTCGGATAAAACAAATTCAAAATCGTTTCACATGAAAAAAACTCAAAATTCTCTACTGTTCTTTCAACAAAAAGATAATAATAACAAATCCGAAATCGTTTCTCCAATAAGCGATAAAACAAATTTTATTTCGAAAAGTTTGCAAAATTCTAAAAATGAACAGGAATACATAAGAGCGGAAAAATTTGAACGCGTTTTCAACAAATACACGAGAGATGGTAAAATAAAAGAAAGTGCTCATTACCAAGAGAGCGACATATTGGAATCCCCGACTTCTTTGTACTACTATAAAAGTAATGTAGCCGACAAGCAAAGTGATTATGAAGATATTTGGGCCACCGATTCTTTTACAACGTTCAAGCCAAACAACACGTCTGCGACACAACAAGATCAAGAAAATGACAAAAGTAGCGAGAGTAACGATTTGAAAAAAACTCCCGATCTTTTAGAAAAATTGGGAAATTTTTCGAAAATTTCGTTCGATGACAACAAGGGAGTGAAACCTTCACACAATGAAAACGTAACAAACGAATGCGTCAGTTTTGCAAATCAAGTCAGAGATTTGGACGACGAAAAACAAAGCAGTCCTTTTTACGCCGAACCGGCCGATGCTCTTATTTTAAGAAAAAGAGGACGTCATTCTTGCAACAAATCCCGTCATTCCGATCCCTTTTCTTTCAACAATTGGTCAGCTCACTGCAATCCCTACTTATCCGGTGGGAACATATTAGACAAAATAGATTCACAAAATGACGTAAACGACGAAGGTAATTGGAAGGCGAAATCTAGTTTGAGTTTCGATAATATAATGAATTTGAAAAAGACCGAACCGGATTCGAGGTGTTCGAAAGTGAGTCAGAAAAACAAAGTTTTGGCGAAAGGAAAACCCGTGGGGCCACCGAAAATCTATAATAATGGAGCATTGGAAAAACCTCAGCAAAATTGGGCGGTGGATTCCAGTTGGGAGTTTATCGGTAATGAAGAAAATGAAAAAGAAGGAGAAAGACGATTTCCATCGATCGAACAACAAATGGATTCCGATGATGGAAACAATAGGCATACCGTACAAGAAATAATTGCTCAAAGGTAATCAAAGGAATTTGGAAAAGGAAAATTTGTTAGAAAAAAAGGTACAAGGTTGATAATAAGTTTTATTTTTCGTTTTAGATTTCCAAACATTCAAGTTCTTAAATCCTTCTGGAATAAAAATATTGAAAATAAAGAAAATTCTTCGTACCAAACGCATTTTCAAAAGGTGGATGGCAGTAGTAAAGGCAGCAGCTCCCGGATAAGCGCTTACGATAATTTATCCTGCGACAAATATACTTTTTACAAAACCTTAAACGAGTCGCAAAAATATTACGAAATAAATTGTGATAATTACCATGATCAGAGAAATAAATTTAGCGAAAACGAAACATTTAGTAATTACATTTCTTGTGACACGTTGAAAACGAAGAGACGATTGGATTGCGGATCCGTCATCGAGGACAACGAAGATACGGAAACTATATTTTCCGAGCCGTGGGACAGTAGCCGATGGGAAAATCTTTTGCCAAACGCTTGTAATTATTACGAGGATTCGGAGGAGAGTGGTGCTCACTTGGTAGTAGGACCACCGACGAATTCGGAAAATTTATTCGATTGTTCAAACGCCGTCATTAAAAATATAAAAAAGAAAATTTGTCCGGAAGGATCGGATATACCACCGTGTAAGATTATCGTCGAAGAACAAAAAAAATGCCGATTTAAAAGTAAAAAATGGAGTAATTTTTTTTAAATATTTTTTTTTTTTTGTTTGTGGTTTAGCTTTGCCTTTGATGGGATTGAAAAGTAAAGAATTGTCTGCGACGGAAGCATCCATACGTTCTTACGCCCTTCATCTTGCATCGGATAAAAGCACGACATTTGCTCAAAATATCGATAATTTCATAGAATGCACGTTGGAATCGAAAGAAACGAGTCCGCAAGTCGTCATGAGAAACATGAGACAATTCATGTCGGGTATGAAAAATTATTTGGTCAAACACGGGGAGCGAGAATTTGAAAAACAAGTGGAAAAGGAAAGAATGAAGGTACGTGAAAAAAAGTCTCATAATTTATTTTATTAATTATATATATTTTATTATATTAAATTGTTTTAGTTGAAATCAACGGAATTTCTTAATTTGGATGCCATATTGGAAGGTGCCATGCACAAATTGGTCGTGCGTCCATTGAGAGAACATCTTTACAAATTGTTCGTCGACGAGTACATAAAAAATGGCGGCATACAATTGTTATACGAAAATTTAATTTACGCAAAAACAAAATCTCTTAGAGATCTCGGATTAAAAGTTGGTTTTTTTTTTTTTTTTTTTTTTAAATGATAAATAAAGAATTATTATTATTATTATTATTATTATTATTATTATTATTATTATTTTTTGTTATTAGACTAAAATAACGCTGCCATCTCAGGAAGCCTTAGATATGGTTTGTCAATTTATAAGAAAATTGCAAGAGGTTGATTCGCCATTGGAAAAATTAGAACACCTCCTTGCCAGCGTATCGACGATAATTTACTCGGTAATTATAAAAAATTATCATTATTATTATTATTATTATTATTCATTTATAAACAAGAAGAGGTTTTGTTTTGTTTTTAAACGCAGGTAAAACATTCGAATCAGGGAAAACCAGGGATCGCATTCGGAGCTGATGACCTTTTACCTTTGTTCATATGGATTTTAGTTCAATCGGGTTTTATTGCTGCGGAAATAGAATCCGAATACATGTGGGGTTTGCTTCATCCCAGTCTTTTGTCAGGAGAGGGTTGCTACTACTTGACGACCCTTTCATCCGCCGTACACGTATTGAAAAATTTAAAATCATGCGGTATAGATCATTCGAGAAGATTGGCTTCAAATGAGGTTTGGAAACCGTTTTGTTAAAGTAAAATTAACCGGAAAATAGAATTGGAGAAATTTAAGAATTTTTTTTTTTTTTTTTTTTTTTCAAATAGTGGCAATGCGAAGATCTTAAATCCGTATTGAAAATAATCGTACCGGATGAATTACACGGTTCGATACTCACGAAAACATTACCAGTCAAACCGAACATGACGACAAAAGATGTTTGTAAAATAATTGCTCATAAGATTAGAATAACAAATCCACAGGATTATGGACTTTTCAGGCTCGTCGATGGCGAAGGTATTGTTTGTTTTTTTTTAATCCGTTTCCGTAGAACAAAAACAATTCGATTGTTGTTCGAGAGAGACAAACAAACAAACAGACAATGCTCTTTCATTATATATAAAGTCTCAAAGTCACACGTCATTGAAATCATTTCCGGTTTGATTTTCTCATTACAGAAACACTTTTAAACGATTCTGAATGTCCGCAAGATGTCAAATCACAATTGGTTGAATCTGGTAAACATTGTACGTTGGCATATAAAAGAATAGATGCGAAAATTGGATGGCCGAGAACTGCGTAATGGTCCAAAAAAAGGTTTTAAATATCATGTCACAACCTTTGGGGGGGGGGGGAAGGGGGGGAGAAGGAAAAGAAAAAAAAAATTTAAACTTATTATTTATATTGATAATAATAATATATTTTGATGTGTTACCAAAAGTCAAAACTGAAAATATATAAAAATTGATTTTTTTTTTATTTATTATTTTTAAATATTATTAATAATAATAATAATAATAATAATAATAATAATAATAATGGATAACTTTTTTTATACAACTTGTATTTTAAAAAAAACTTTTTTATACTGTAATTTTTTAATAAAAATTTTTTATAACCTTATATATATAAATTTATATATATTAAAATTAATATAACGAGTTTAACAGTTTAATATAAATAATAATAATAATAATAATAACAGTATTTATAATAAATTGAATATAAGTAGTAAATATTTTATATTTTATTTCAAAATATATATATACATTCTAAATAGAGTATGTCATAAAAAAAAAAAAATTTTTCATAATTTTCTATACTATACTATACTATACTATACTATATAATATTTTTTAGTATAAATAAATAATTTTTTTTATATATATACATGATTTTGTATTTGTATTATTGCCAAAACAGTATAAATTATTTATATATATATATTCATATATTATTATTTTTATTGATATATTTACTATTGAAAAAAAAAGTCGATGGATATGTCGGCTCTTAAAAAAAAAAAAAAAAAAAATTTAACTTTTCTATTATATTATATAACCTTTGATATAATAATAATAATAATAATTTTTAAATACTACTTTAAAACATTCATTACATTTAAATATAACTTTAAATTTTTTATTATTATTATAATAATAATAATATTAAGAACTGATTTTTATATTAATTATTATTCTCTATTTAGATTTTTTTATATGTAGAATTTTTATTTGTTTGTTTGTTTGTTTGTTTGTTTTTTTTTTATATAAATGATGTGCAATTTTCAAAATTTTGTAAAATAAAAGTTTTTTTTTTTTTTCTTTTCCTTGTAAAAAAAAATTTGTTTGTTTGTTTGTCGTTGTTATTTATTTATTAACAAATTTTCTTTTAATGAATGATTTAAAAAAAAATAAAAAAAAAAAAAGTTACGCTGCGGACAGGATTCGAACCTGTGCGGGGAAACCCCATTGGATTTCGAGTCCAACTCCTTAACCACTCGGACACCGCAGCTGCGATGTGCGACGATGTTTTAAAAGCTTATTTAAAACCGTTAATAATGAAATAAGAAAATCGTTAAACTGACTAACGTAGTATTTTTTAGAATTATTGTTTTTTTTTTTTTTTTTTTTTTTTTTGTACAGTGTCAACACTTGTACTCAATTTTATTTTTGTTAAAACTGTTGAGGAAAAGGTTAAGAATTTTTAATTAGAGTTTTAAAACTATTATTGAATCTAAGAAAAAAATCATTTAAAAGTCAAAAATTAAAAAACGTTTATTACACAATAAGAATGAAAACAGATTTTATGATTATTTGTACAATTTTAATTTATTCTACTTATTTGACACAGAGGAACACAACCGTGAGTAAAATAAGCTTAAATTAAAATTGTAATAAAAAAAATTACTATTAACGATATTATGGATGTTAATATAGTCGTCTTACTTTGTTAAATTTGAATTTATCTTGACATTATTAAAAATTTTCCCCCCCATTTTATACCAAAGAGTTTTTTCAATAGAAGCTTGATACTCCACAAATTAAAATTATGAAAGAAGTATTATTTTTTGCGTGCAATTAATATTGGTTAAATTTGTATAACTTGCACAAATTATCAAAAATTTATAATATTATTATTACTTTCTAATTTTAATTCCACTGATTTAGTTCATTTTATAATTTAATCTTTTTCATTTAAAAAGAAAAACATTATTATTATATATAATAAAATTTATTGCCTTGATATTATTTTACTTTATTAATGTGTTTTGTGCTTTAAGAAATTTTAATACCATCTATTAACATACTTTCTTTTATTAAAATATCATAATTTTTTTATGTATTTTATTCATTATATTTTATTCAATGATTGTTGTATATTTTTATATAAATTATTTAAAAAATTTTATTTAAATTTTAGTGAGTCTTAATTTCATATAAGAACCAAACATGAATTTAAACATTAAGTTAGACGGAGAAGAAGACCAAGCTATTCAGTATATGAATAGATTTTCCATCAATATTCCATCAACTGCTTTTAATTTAAACATTGTCAATTCCGGATTAAACAATCAAGGTTACATATTAAATCCTGTTAATACAAATGGCCAAAATATTGTTACATATCAACCATCTATGGCTCTACAGTCATATTTTACATTGCCTGGTAAGTTTGTGGGGTTTCGTAGGTAAAAGAACCGATAATACTTAACTTTTCTCAGTATCATTTATCGGGCAAAAAAACGATATCGAATTGAGAATGTTTGTGCATTAATCAATAATTTCATCATCTATTTTAGCTGAATCAGAAGGGAATATTATTCAAAGTTTACCTGTGGGAGTACCGGTTCCAGTAGGAGTTCCTGTGCAAACAGGATTTCTACAAAATCACAACTTTGTAAATACTAGTATTATTATTGGAAATGAAGAATGTAATTCTTCTGCAGTACTTAATACTTCATCTAATAATGTTAATAATATAAGTGAAATAAAATCTGATTTTTTCGATAAAACGTTAGAAGATGGTGTTAACACTAGTGAACCTCAAAATATTGGGTGTGTGTTTATCTTTTTAGATTTTTATATAAAGTATATTATGAAAGAGTATAATTGATAAATATAATTTCTAGGTTAAACTGTAATTCTCAAGTAAATGTGGACAATACGACAAAAAAACCTTGTCCACTTGAAATGAGCATCAAAGCTGCCAACATAGATATCGAATTTGAAAAATGCGAAGAAGAAATTACTATTCCAGAGCCTGAAAATGGGAATTTAAAAATTTTTCAAAAAATCATGGACGAGGATAAAAATTCTCAATTCAATTTTAAAACATCACCTGTTCAACAACAGAGTAATAATTTTGTGAACAATGATTCAAAGTTTAACAAATTTCAAGTTGATATGAATTGGCAGAAAAACGATGAGAAAGAAAAAGAATCTCAAATGGCTAATTTTCAAGAGAGTCTCGTATGTGAAGTTGAAGATGCAAATGATGATGAAAATGATGAAGGTAGATAATTTTAAAATATAAATTAGCCAGTTGAATAGCCATGGATGAAACAAAAAGATGGTGGAAAAATTTTTCATTAATAATTATTAAAAAGGAAATTAATGTTTGAATACCTTTTCAGATTCATCGTCTGAAGAAAGTGATGACTTACCATTGAGCACAGCGTTAAAATTAAAAACGTTGCCAAATTCGAAAAAAGGAAACGATTTAGACGCCAAACGTGAAAAGAAAAATATTTTAAATGGTAAAGTTGTTAATGCGGTTGGGAAAAAAAAAAGATGTCGAAAGAACAATAAAATGTCGGAAAGTGAAGATGAATGGTCTGAAAGTGACGATGATTGTTTGAATTTAAAAAGAATCAAAAACGAATTCGATTACAAATGTTATTTCGATCCGAAAGCTACAATTCCTGTAAGTTTCACTCTTTTTTTTTTTTTTTTTTATTTAAAAGGGTAATTTGAAAAAAAAAAATTATTTACTTACCGTTATTGATGTCCGACTGTTAAAAATTTCAAATTTTTTTCATTTATTCGTAGAAACCCAATTCGCATTTACCAAAGAATGAGAAAACGTTGAAAAAATTCGTTCGAGTTCGAAGTTGTTGTTCGAAAAAAGAATGCAGTAAAAAAATATCGGTTAAAGATCAAATGGCGGCACACGCACATTTTTACGCTATGGAAACGGAAACGGAAAGACACGAATATTTAATGAATTGCATAGAAAACGTACAAAAAACTAAAAATTCGATAGATGCGGACAATGCCGAAGAAAACAATGAAAATTATTTTCACAAGTTGACCGAAAATGCAACGACGGTGAGTCCGAACATACAACTGGAAATCGAAAATGAATCGAATGGGAATAAGAAATTATCGGATGAAATACAAAACGCCATCAACGAAAGTCTTAAAGATTACATTGTTATTGAGGAAAAGGATAAAAATAAAACGGATTCTTTCGACGAAACGCAATCGACGACGAGCGATAAAGAAGAGAAAAACAATTGGAATTATCACGTGATCATTAACGGTTCGAAGAAAAAAGTTTGCCTCCAATTTTTGTTGAAACTTTTGAGGATAACTAAAACCACGATAAAACAATTGCAAAAAAGAATACTATCGGGTACGATATAACTATTGACTGAGTTCAATGAAAATAACTTGGGGGGGGGGGGGAAAGAAAAATTAATTTTTTTTTTTTTGTTGATATTTTAAGGTACTACTCCAGTGTCGGAAGAGGGAAATTCGATTTTCAAATCGAATCAAAAATTAACGGAAGGTTACGAAATAGCAGCTAAATTGCATTTGGATTCCGTGTCTGCAGAATGCGAGGAAAAATGCAACGCCGTACCGACTCACAAGTATTTGTTAATGAATACGACGAAGGAAAATTTATTTGCCAATTTCAAAGAATTTTATTGGGAAAAAAATAAAAAGAAACTCGATATGACATTTTCCGCGTATAAAAGGTTTGAGAAAAATAAGTTGAAATAAATAAATAAATTTTTTTTTTTTTTCTATTTAAAATATAGAAATTAATACATTTTTTAGATTTTTGGAAAAGAAAACGAGTTTATCATTTTTACCGAGGAGAAAAGATTTGTGCGCCGAGTGCGAGGATATGAAAATAAAAAACAAACAAAATAAAAACGTTAAAGACTCGAAATTGCAAAAATTAAAATCAGTAGAAGACTCCAAGGGTAGGAAATTAAAAAACAAAGATGGCTGCCAACACGGGTCCGGAGAACAACATTTGTCAGAGTCTAATAGAATCAAGTGAGTTTTTTATTAAAAAATCGTGTGTGGGTCAAAGGTTAAATTTTAATTAATGGATGACTCTCATTTACTTTTCCCAGATCATCGAGCGTACCGACGAAAGGTTTCGGTAATTTGAACAAAACTCCGGGCAATCAGGGGAAGAAAAACGCGATGATGATGATGAGGAGGAGGAGCAGGGAAACGGAGAAAAAGGTTAAAAAGGAAAAATACAAACAACAACAACACCAACAACCGCAAACCAAAGGGAGAGACGTTTGGAGTTTGATGTTGTTGCATTTGGAAACGATGCCTTATAAGGAATGTCACTCGTGCACGAATTCTAAAAAGCATAGGTTTTTAAATTCGTCATTTACGACGCAGGTACGAATATTATTATGTACAAATTATTATTATTATTATTATTATGGTCACTCTTAAACACGACAAGGCTCTTATTTGTCGGGGTTTTTAAGCATTTATTCCAGGTTTCTACCCGATTCCTTAGGGATAAATGCTCGAATTTCGTTGGTGCTATTTATAATATTTTCAAAAAAATGTGGGCCGTCCCACATAGTGCGATTTCCTGGTTCTTTAAATTTCCTTTTATTGAATGTGGCATGGCTCCCAATGCTCCCACGATGACCGGAATCGTTTCTGTTTTTGTTCCCCACATCCTGGTTATTTCGATTTCCAAATTTCTATATTTCAGCCTTTTGTCTGCTTCTTTGGCTGTGGTGTTTTTTTCTGCCGGCACGTGTACCTCAACTTACACCTTTTTTCCGCATTATGCCTGAGGATGATATCCGGTTTGTTGGCTGGCACAGTTCTATCAGTGTGGATTTGTTGATCATACAGAACTGTGCATGGACCTACTTTTTTTTTTTTTTTTTTTTTTTTTTTTTTTTTTGATATCTCAGGAGAAATGCAAGTTACGCACAACCCCTCCGAAGAGGGAGTGTGGGGCTCGGTATGGAATTCGAAAAGAAGGCCTAACCGGGAACCATACCCACTAAAACTCCTGAGCATGTCGCAATAGCGTGGCTTATATGAAGAGGGGGGGGACGATCGTTGGGGTAGTACCTACATTTCAGTCAGTCCCCTCTCCGGTAAGCCAGAACGTTACCGTTCCACACGATTATCTGTTGGGGAGATCCGCCCTAATCTTCGTTCCGTCTCCGCCTCGACGATGAGAACGCATCTCCCAGGACGTTCGGCAGTCCCTTTCGGGAGTGTCCTCCGGTCCTTCGCTGTGGGGGGAAAGGGATGAAAGCTCGCCTGCTTCCAGAGAATGCGGCCGGGGCGGGGGGTTTAGACTAAAGCTTCGCCACCTGAGCAAAAGTGTAAATGAAATAAGAAAGAGAAGACTTTTGTTGACCGCATTCTCTCCTAACGGGTAATCAGGACTAAACGGGGGGCAAGATAGACAGAGGAGATCGACCGGTATCGCCGACCTCCGAGAAATCGTAAAGAAGACTCACCGACGACGAAGCTCGCGTTCGTCGCCGCTCCTCCCTAATCAAAGACGTCGTCGTCGTCTTCTTCTTCTTCCCCCTCCTCCTCGTTTCGACGATGACGTTTCCTCTCCCACGGCCGATGACAAAGGTCCGGATCCGCTCCTTCCGCCACCTCTTCTTCTTCCTCCTCGCCTTCCTCATCAGCGGGATTTATAGACCTTAACCTAACCTTAGACCTAGCCTTAATCCTATCTGTTAACCTACTCGTCCGAAGCATGCGACGACGAACTCCGGACTTTTCGCGCTCGCGTTCGCGGTCCTCTTTCGCCCGCAGGACCGCTTCCGAAAATCGCGAAACGGCGGACCATTCCCGGGGTCCGCGAAGCAACGCAGTCACGAGGCCGCGGATCGACAAGTCGGGTCCGATGACGCCGACCAGCCGCTGCTTGTGATTGTTCCACGCGGGACATTTCGCGACCGTGTGCTCGACGTCGTCGTCGGGCGCACCGCAGAACCAACACTCCGTCGTCGCCTCTCTGCCGATGCGCGCCAAGTACGAGCCGAACACTCCGTGGCCCGTGAGGACCTGAGCGAGACGATAGGTCAAGTTCCCGTGATCCCGCCCCACCCAGTCCCCCACTCGGGGACCAAAAACTTCGATTATTTCCCCCCCCCCCGTAACGCCTGCGCCCGTCGACGAACCGCGCCTGCCACGATCGGACCGTGCGAACGCAAAGTTCCCTGCCGAATCGGGCTCTCCCCGGCCCGCCGCGACCCCGCTCGCGGTAGAGGACGAGTCTCTCCACCGCGAGGAGATCGAGCGGGGGAGTTCCCGACAGAAGGCAAGCCACCTCCGCCGCGACGTCCCTGTACGCCGTCGCCACCTTGTTCAGAGACGCCTTTTGGAGTTGAATCGCCCTCTCGCGAAGCGGCCGCGATGCCGCCACCGATTCGGCCCACACCGGTGCTCCGTACAGGGCCACGGAGTGAACGACCGTCGCGTACAATCGCCTGACCCTCGCCCGCGGACCCCGCAGGTTCGGCATCAGGCGCCCTAACGATGCGCTCGCGGCTCGGATCTTCGGTCCGAAAAGCGCGAGGTGTCCGATGCTCCGTATGACGTCCACCGTCGCGTCCAGTCCCGATTCCGCACGATCCCGGACCTCCGCCCACCCGCGACCGGTCGCGAGGAGCAGGATGTCGTCCGCGTAACAGACGAGAGAGCAACTTTCGGGAAGGACGGTCCGGGTGAGGACGCAGTCGTAGGCGATATTCCAGAGGAGCGGTCCGAGAACCGACCCCTGGGGCACGCCGCAGAAAACGTCCGCCGTTTCCGTCGTTCCGTCCGGCTTCTCGTACGAAATCTTCCTCTCCGAGAGGAAGGACCCTATCACCGAAACGAGGTAATCGGGCACGGACTTCGCCACCAGCCCGTCCCGTATCGCCGACCACGGAACCGAATTGAACGCGTTCTTCACGTCGATCGAAACCGCGAACGCGACTCCGCCCCGGCGCAGAGCATCCTTGATGGCGTCCCGTACTCGAACGAGCGCGTCAATGGTCGAACGGCCCGCCCGGAAGCCGTATTGATTCGGAGAGAGATCGTTCCTCCCTCCGTCCGCCCCCATGTTACCGATTATCGACGCGCTCGAACAACTTACCCTCCACGTCGAGAAGGCAAATCGCCCGATAAGCGCCGGGCGTCGACGGGTCCCTACCCGGTTTTTCTAGCAGCACGAGGTTCGCCAACTTCCACTGCTTCGGAAACGACGCCTCTTCGAAACACGCGGTGTAGAGCGACGAAAGACGCGAACACATCACCTCGACGGATCTGCCGAGGATCCGATAATGTACGCCGTTCGGGCCCGGAGCCGAGCGCTTCTTGGAGGCCGCGTCGAGGAGGATGCGAATCTCCCCCTCGATCACTCGGTCGCGATCGCGGTCGAAGGCGAAGCCCGCCGGAGGAAACGCGTAAGGTGCGACGCGCGGGAAGAGTTCCGCGATGACTTCGGCGAGAAACTCCCCCGTCATGCCGGCCGTCAACGGCCCCGACGAACTCTGCAGCTTCTTCGTCACGATGCGGAAGAAGAAACCCCACGGATCCGCGTCGACCTCGCTCAGGAGCTCCTTCGAACTCCATATCGCTCGGCGAACGCGAACCCGCGAAGCCCGCCACTCCGCTTTGAGTTCCAGCAAGATCGAATCAGTCACGATGCGTTCGTAGTCTCCTCCGCGGCGGAGGAGTTCGCGTTTCCGTTCCCGACACTCGACGAGCCGCTCTTCGTCCATCGTCCTCAGGCTCCACCGGGGCGGAACGACGACGCGAGGACCGCCGGACCGAGAGGTAGCCCCCCCCCGAGCTCCGAGGAGCCCCGAACGAGAACGCCAGGTAGGCGTGGTCGCTCAAGGACTCGAAACCGGAAAGGACCTCCCAGCCGGAGACCCACGCCGCGGCCGCGACGGAAGAAACCGTGAGGTCGATCGCGGAATCGCCGGTGGCCCGCACGCAAGTTTTAGCCCCCCTCCTGTTTCGCACAACGAAACAACGCGAATCGAACCACTCCTTGAGGAGTCGGCCACGCGCGTTGTTCGCGTATCCCGACCACGATACGTGCTTGGCGTTGAAGTCGCCGCGGACGAGAGTGGGACGAGACCCCCCCCCGAACCGATCGATCTCCCTCGCGAGCGCGTGCAAGAAATTCTCGAACTGACCGACGGGACGGTTCGGCGACGCGTAAGCGGACACCATAACCGCGTTTCCCCAACCGACCAGAAGGAAACCCTCCCCCCTAGAAAGTTCCCGAGGCCTCGGTGTCCGGACCGAGTGCGAGAACAGTATCGCGGCCGCTCCGTCCTCGGATCCGAACCAGGAGCCGTCGCGGCTTTCCCCCCTTTTCGGAACGGCGTAAGGTTCCGAAATCATGACGACGTCGACCCCCCACGCGCCCACCTGATTGAGCAGGAGATCTTGCGCTCCCCTGCAGTGATTTAAATTGACTTGAAGAAACTTCCCCATGTTCACGTCGAACTCTGGGCAGAGCCGTTCGTTCTCGGCTCGCACGAAGAAGTTTCCCGCGTCTCACCCCCTGCACCCCAGTCGCACCCCAACGGATGGCCCTTCCCCTGACCGAAGGCGCCGAACACGAAGGACCGCCCAACCGGTGGTTAGCCGGACGGCCGGTCTCCGCGCACGCCGCGCAACGAATCGAGTTCGCGCAATCGCGCGCCCGGTGCCCCGTCCCTCCGCACCTGAAGCAACGTTCCTGCGCTCCCTCTACCCTACCCTCGAACTTGGGACACCGCGCGCCCAGATGCCCCGGATTGAGACACCTGAAACACACGGCCTTTCGCTTCGGCGGGAGAACCACCCGCGCTCTGACCCAACCGACGGTCACCTTGCCCACCTCGAGGAGGACGGACGCGGCGGCCGCGGGAACAGACGCGAACCCCAGTCGCGGTCGTGTGCCCCCTCCGACCGGAGGACGCACCAATACGTCGAAAACGGGACATCCGCCCGCCCTGGACAACGCGAGAGCGACGTCGTGCGACGTCGCGGACTCGCAGAGACCCTCGACGCGGAGGTCGACCCTTCTCGCGGGGCACGTCGCCGTGACCCCCATCGGCCCCACGACCCTCGAAAGCTCCGCGGCCAGCTCCGCCGCCTTGGCCGCCCTGTTTCTTCTGTTCAGGCAATCGCCTGACCCTCGCCCGCGGACCCCGCAGGTTCAGCATCAGGCGCCCTAACGATGCGCTCGCGGCTCGGATTTTCGGTCCGAGGAGCGCGAGGTGTTGCCCGAAAGTGAGACCCGAGTCGAAGGTGACCCCCAGATACCCGAGCGTCCTCCTCACCCCGACCCTCACTCCCCCAGACGACAGTGCCAGGCCGTTGGGAAGCCGATTCCTCGGACGGTGGAATCCGCAGGCTTCCGTTTTCGGCAGAGACACCCGGAGTCCGATGCTCCGGATGACCTCCACCGTCGTGTCGAGTCCCGTTTCCGCACGATCCCGGACCTCCGCCCACCCGAGTAAGAATCAGGAGCAGAGTCTCGTCGGCGTAGCAAGTCAACGATACACCTTCGGGAAGAACGGTCCGGGTGAGGACGCGGTCGTAGGCGATGTTCCACAGGAGTGGTCCTAGAACCGATCCCTGAGGCACGCCGCAGAACACGTCCGCCCTTCCCGTCGTTCCGTCCGGTTTCTCGTGCGCGATCTTCCTCTCCGAGAGGAAGGACCCTATCACCGACACGAGATAATCTGGCACGGACTTCGACGTAAGCCCGTCCCTTATCGCGGACCAAGGTACCGTGTTGAACGCGTTTTTGATGTCGATGGAGACGGCGATCGCGACGCCGCTCCGATAAAGCGTGTCTCGGATTCCGGCGCACACGCGGTCGAGTGCGTCGATCGTTGAACGGCCCGCCCGGAAGCCGTACTAATTCGAAGAGAGGTCGTTCCTCCCTCCCCCTGATCGTAAGTGTTCGTCGATCCGGGACGCTATCACGCGCTCGAACAACTTGCCCTCCACATCGAGAAGACAAATCGGCCGATACGCGCTCGACGTCGTCGGATCTCTACCCGGTTTGTCCAGCAGTACCAAGTTTGCTTCTTTCCACGGCGTCGGAAACGTCGCCTCTCGGAAGCACGCGGTGTAGAGCGCCAGAGATGCGCACACAGCACCCCGGCAGACTTGCCGAGAATGCGGTAATGCACTCCATTCGGACCCGGAGCCGAGCGTCTCTTCGCGTAGAGGACCGCGTCGTGGAGAAGGTGGACCTCCCCCTCCGTCACTTCGGTGTCGCGGTCGCGGTTCGCGTCGTGCGAGAGATCCGGCGGGGGAAACGCGAACGGCTCGACGCGAGGGAAGAGCTCTACGATCACTTCGGCGAGAAACTCCTCCGTCATGCCGGCCGTCAGCGGTCCCGACGAACCTCTCAGTTTGTTGGTCACGAGACGGAACGGGAGACCCCACGGATCCGAATCCGCTTCGCTCAAGAGTTCTTTTCAGCACGTCTCCTTAGAACTCCATATCGCTCGTCGGACCCGGACCCGGGAAGCCCTCCACTCCGCTTTTAAACGCGCGAGTTCGTTGTCACTCACGATGTCCTCGTAGCGTCCTCCCCGTTTGATCAGTTGTCTTTTTTTGCCGACGAACCGGCGACGTGCGAGACAGGACTCCTTCCACAATTCTCCTATCTCGTCCGTCCACCAGTACTTCGGCCGTTTCCGAGACGTCGAGCGCGAGCCGATTCTCTTCATGCAGGAGTCCGAGATCCGTCTTAAGTCGTCTCGAACTCCTCGCGCCATATCGTGTGCGTTTTGTCTTGTCGGGCCGGGAGCAACGTCATCTCTCCAGGCCTCCGCCACGAGACACTCGGCGAGCCGTTCGTCGTCGAACGACCTCAGACTCCACCGGGGCGGGACGACGCGAGGTTTGTCCGGCGAGGAGGCCCCCCCCCCCGAGCTTCGAGGATCCCCGAACGAGAACGCCACGTAGGCGTGATTGCTGAGGGACTCGAAGTTGGAAATGACCTCCCAGTCGGAGACCCGCGCCGCCGTCGAACCGGATGAAATCGTGAGATCGATCGTGGACCCGCCGGTGGACCACACGCACGTCTTGACTCCTTTTGCGTTCCACACGATGAGATGACGCTCGTCTAACCACTGTCTTAACAATCGGCCGCGCGTGTTAGTCGCGTAACCTGACCACGATGTGTCTAAGATAGGGTCCTCTTGATCCAGAATTATGGCATTCTGGTACGCAGCTTCTATTTGTCGTAATCCTCTTCCTCCATCTTTCCTCCTGACGTACAATCTATCCACATCAGCTTTTGGATGTAACGCACCATTCATAGTTAATATTTTCCTTGTCCTTATTATTATTAATTATTAATATGAAATTACAGGGACTTTTTGAAGACTACAGAAAATATTTTTTAAAAGAAACAAATTCGGAATTGGGGCTGGGATTTACAATGTACGAAAAATATTTCAACAGGAATTGCAATTACACAATAATGGACGTTGATTTAAAAGAAGGAGAAAGTTGTCCACGTTGCATAGCGGATCGTTTAAAATCATAGTAATAGTATCATAACAAAGGCAAGAAAGAAGAAGACATGATATAAAAGCAGCTAAAGTAAAAAAAAGGAAGAAGGAAGAAGAAGGGAAAAGGGAGGAAAATCCAAAACAATTCCGGTCGTCGTTTTATATTTATTTATTATTATTATTATTATTATTATCATCATCATCATCATCATCTTTTTTTTGTAAACTTCTTCTTCTCATTCGTTATGCGCTCAACTTGTTAGAATTACATTGAATTAAATAAATTCTAAAAAAAAAATTTTTTATACTTTTACAACAAAAAAAACGTGAATTTTTTTATACGATGGATAGATAGATAGATAGATAGAGATAATAAATATTATTAATATTATTATTATTTTTCAGTAAATTATATTTAAAAAAAAAAAAAAAAAATTTAGTTTTTAAAAATGATTATTAGTTGTTTAGATTATTATTATTATTATTATTATCTTTTTTTTAAATTGTCAAAAAAAAAAGAAAATTGTAAAAATGTACGATAATATTTATATATACAAATATATTTTTTTTTTTCTCTCTCTTAAAACGTTTGAATTTTTTTTTTTCCTCACTCTCTCCCTCTCATAAAGTTTGAATTTTTTCCCTCTCTCTCTCTCTCTCATGAAGTTTAAATTGTTTAACCCTCTCTCTCTCTCTCTCTCTATCTCTCTCCCTCTCTCTCTCATAAAGCTTGAATTTTTATTTTAAAAAAAAACCCTGATTTAAATAGAATGATTTAAAAGTTGGCAATGCGTATGAGGGGTAGTTTTAGGGTGGAGGGTGTTTAAAAATAAATTTTTTTTTTTTTTTTGGAGCGGCCATCTCCTCGTGGTATTTATTTAAATTAATTAATTTTTAAAAAAATCCCAATAAAAAAAATTCAAAAAAAATTAAAATTATTTTAAACAAAAAATTTTTTATTGATTTTTTTTATTAAACTTTACATATTTTTTTATTTAACTACAACAATAATAATAATAATAATAATAAAATGATGAATACATAGAATTTTACTATTAATGTACAAGCTATAATATAATACCTTTTTGAATTTTATATATATATATATACCATAAATTAATAATAATAATACGCTACAACAATGTTTAACATTTAATTATTATTATTATTAGCGGCGTTTTTTTTTTTTTTTGATTTTTCACGAAGCAAAATAACAAAAAATTTATTTATTTAAATACCCAGAGACTCGTATATATATATATATATATATATATATTAAATAAAATGAAGAAATGGAATGTTTATTATTATATAGGGAAAAAAAAACCGACACCCACTACTACTCGCACAACTAATACATCTATCTATCTATCTATTTATTTATTTATTTTTTTCTAATTAAAACATTTATTATTATACATATTAAATAAACTTTTTTTCTTTTTATCGTCTCCTTTCATTTCATTTATTATTATTATTAGTATATATATATATATATATATATATATATAAATATATAAAAAACTTTCAACAACAATAAAAAAAATAACATAAAACAATCAATCAATCAATCAATCCTCTTCTCTTTATTTAAAATAAGCCATTTATTTTTTTTATTTTAATAATTTTAACCCCTTTATTTCATCAAATTCTAAACAATAAATTATTTATTTATTAAATTATTCGATTTGATTTAAACAAAAAAAATTCTGATTGGAATAAATGATAATAATAATAATAATAATAATGATTTAAAACGGGTAATTCATTCATAACAACATCAAGAGTTAGAATAAATTCTGGGTATTGACGTGACCACCATATATTTATATATATATGCCTGCATACATTCCTAATAATACAATAAAGATAGAGCTTTATCAATAATAAATAAATAAATAATAATAATAATAATAATAATAATACGATAATGATAATAAAATCAATTATATATATGAATTACATAATAGACATAAATAAAATTTGCAACAATTGTAGTTAAAGTAGTAGTAGTAGTAGTAGTAGTAGTAACATTATTAAATTTTTTAGGTAAAGCTCTCTCTCTCTCTCTCCCTCCCTCTCTCTATCTCTCTATCTCTTTCTTTCTTTATATAACCTCATTTAATCTTCCAAATTTCTAAATGCTTGTTGAATATCTTCGTATAATTGCTCGAAATCTGCTTTGATTTTAGCTTCGCCATCTTTGACCGGATCCTTTTAAAATAATAATAATAATAATAATTTTTATTAAAAAATTACATATTAATTTTTTGTGTCAAAAAAAAAACGTACCTTAAATTTCATCGAAGACAATTGGTATAATATGTTACCCATGCTATCTTTTATAACGTTCCACGTTATTTTATTTTCACTTTGAGCCGTTGATTCCACCGCGTGCCTCGACATGTCGTAAAGAGCGATCATATTTTTCAACATTCCGACAGTCTTGTAGAAAGGACAGAACCTGTCATACGGAGAATAACTACCGGGGAGAAAAAAATTAAGTGAATTTCATCAAGTACACCTTCCAAAATTATAAAAACCTGTTTTCTTTAAGTTTAAGTTTTAAAAAGAAACCTGTTTTGTTGTAGAAAATCATCTTTCAAAAGTTTGGCTACTTCCAATGTTATCTTATCTGTTTCTGCGAGTGAAGCTTTTCCGACCAATTGCACAATTTCCGACAAATCTTCTTCTTCCTGAAGGATTTCTTTAACCTTGGTTCTCAGCGGCACGAATTCTGGAAAGTTCTTGTCGTAGAAGTCATCCAAAGCTCTGAGATACTTACTTTAATAAATAATAATAATAATAATTAAAATATATTTTTTTAAACCTTTTTTTCACAATTAAAATAATGACCTTAATGTTTACCTGTAGGAAATAAGCCAGTTAATACTAGGGAAATGTTTTCTTTGTGCAAGTTTCTTATCTAATCCCCAAAAAACTTGAACTATTCCAAGTGTGGCTGAAGTTACGGGATCGGAAAAGTCTCCACCGGGAGGAGATACAGCACCGACTATGGATACTGATCCTTCTCTATCGGGATTTCCCAAGCACTTGACTCTGCCAGCTCTTTCGTAAAAGGATGCCAATCTGGCTCCGAGATAAGCCGGATAACCACTAGAGGACAACAGAAATGAGTGTTATTGCAAAGTGATACTTCATTCGAAAACCTTAAAGCAATCAACACCAGAAAACTTCCTTACCTGTCTGCAGGCATTTCAGCTAAACGACCTGAAATTTCTCTCAATGCTTCGGCCCAACGCGATGTAGAATCTGCCATCATGGAAACATTGTAACCCATGTCTCTGAAATACTCGGATAGGGTGATTCCCGTGTAAATAGAAGCTTCTCGAGCAGCTACAGGCATGTTTGATGTGTTTGCCACCAACGCAGTTCTTTTCATAATCGATTCAGTTTGACCATCGATTTCAACGGAAAGTTCTGGAAAATCTCTTAATACCTGTTTGAAAACAAATTTTTTTTTTTTTTACGACATTAAAAAACACTTTTAGGACATAAATCAAACGTGAAAATTTTTTTTATTTATATTCGAATCACCTCTGACATTTCATTTCCACGTTCTCCGCATCCCACGTAAATAATAACATCAGAATTTGAATATTTGGAAAGTGATTGAGATATGACGGTTTTACCACAACCGAAAGCTCCAGGAATGGCCGTAGTGCCTCCTTGAACGCAACTGAAAATAAATTAAATTATTATTAAACTAATTACTGGTAAAACATATTTTTTTTTATTTACTTATTTGACTTACGGGAAAAGTGAATCTAAAACTCTTTGTCCGCAAAGTAATGGATAATTTGCGGGTAATTTTTCGGTAACCGGTCTTGGCTGACGAACGGGCCAAACTTGCAACATGGTGAATTTAAATTTTTCCCCGTCAAATTCCGTCTCGAGAACGACGTCCTGAAAGATAATTTAAATTGGATTATATTTGAAAATTTTGTAATAAATTTAAAATAAAAAATATTAATAAATTATTACCTCGACTGTGTAATTACCAGGTGGTGCAATATAGGTAACAGTACCTTTAGATCGAGGAGGTAACAATAGTTTGTGCTTTACCAAAGTATTTTCATGAACAATACCATACATGTCCCCACCAGTAATGTGCATACCTTTCTGTATCACAAAAAATACATGTATATATAGATTTGTTTCATTTTAACATAAAAATAATAATAATAATAATAATAATAAATTAAAAAATAACTTGCCTTAATATTTAAGGGTTGAAAGTCCCAACTAACATTTCGGGCCAAAGCTGGAATATTAACACCTTTTGGAATGTAAATGCTGCTTGTAAGTTCGTTGATGTCTTTTAAAGGTCTTTGAATACCATCAAAAATAGATCCCAAGATACCAGGACCCAATTCAACTGATAATGGTTTTCCTGTTCTGAGAACGGGATCTCCAACCGTGACTCCAGATGTTTCTTCGTAAACCTTAATAAAAAATAAAATATGTTTCAGTTTTAAAAGAAATGATTGGTGATTGACTCGGTATTTAACTACCAACCTGAATTGTAGCCATATCACCTTCTAATCTAATTATTTCCCCCACCAGTTCAAAATAACCAACTCTAACTAACTCGTACATAGCAGAACCAGACATTTTTTCTGCAGTGACAACTATAATGAAAAGAAATTACTCAATAATACACACTCTAATTATTTTAAATACAAATATACATTGGAAAAGCCAGTAATACGCCATGTAAAAAGAAATACATTATGAAAATTATGAAAAAAAAAAAAACAGGTAGATGAGCTGTACTTTAAATAAATGATTCTTAATTACATAGTTGAACTATCTAAATTATGACTACAGTACTCGATAAATAATTTAAAAAATTTGTAATGAAAAAAATAAATCATACCAGGTCCGGACACTGCAAAAACGTATCCAAATTTATCCTCGTTCTCTTCATGTTGAATTTTTGGTAAGTTTGACATTTTTATGCCTGAAACCAATATCAAAGAATTAAAATGAGAAAAATGAAATATGGATTTCAAAAACAATGGTTAAATTTAGAAAAGTGACAATTTTAAATTATTATTTATAAATTAGATAAATGTACTGGAGATAATATTAATGTAATTAATATAAATAAAGTAATACGATTTAATTTATTCGGATCTTTTCTTTAAGTACAAAAAAGAAAAAGTCACATGCCTCTGTACATCAAATGACCAATTTCAGGTTAAGTAACATAAAAAATAAAAAACCTTTAAATAACTTCAAAAAATTATCGATAGCATAACTGTTTTAGAATTTAAAATTAAAATCAAATAACCAATTTAAAAATATTTCCTAAGAAAAAAAAAAAAAAAATCAAAATATAAAATTATTAAGGATGATAAATTTAGAGGTAAAATAGTTGACAAGTAGCCACATAAGGTGTTTAAAAAACTTAAATAAATACGAAAAAAATAAATAAATGGTAAAAAAATAAAAATAAATCTTACTGAGGAATCACAAGAAGTAATTAAACAAAATTTTAAAATTTTAAAACAAACTGATTTTACCTCTTTTTCGTTTTGGGTCAATTGATCAACTTGAAGTCACAAGACCTGTCAGCTGACATGGAAGACACCACTTGAGTCATGCAAAAAATTTTTGAAATATTCCCATTTAAAATAATTATGAAAAATAAACATTTTAAAAAAATAATTTTAATATAGTTTATATGTAAATTTAAACATTAATGATGTTTTTTTTTTTTTTTTTTTAAACTAACAAATTTAAATGGACTTATAACGTTACCTGTTTTTGAATCGAAAAAGGCTAATAAAAAAAAATACAATTTGATGTATCTCTCCTTCAAATAATTAAAACTGAAATAATTAATAAAATAAAACAAATGTTGTCCTAATAACTTGTAATTTATTATAATAAAATTATTAGAAAAATTTATGAATTCAAAAAAAAAAAAAAAAAAAAAAAAAATACTTACGTTATTTTACGTCTTCAAAAAAAGATAATTTGCCGCGCTTTTATTTGGTATCTATGGTCATTAATTGTTATGGTTGAAATTAAAATCGTTTTTTGCATTTTTAAAAAAAAATGAAAACGTCCCGAATTTTTTTCGTTATTGTTCATTAAATGTTTAAAAATAAGTATTAATTTTCATTTTTATATTAAACCTAAAATTAAATTCGCTTTTTGGAATGACTGGGTTCGTATTTTATTTCATTTCATTTTAAATTTTTATTAAATAATTACCATCATTTTTTTGAGGTTATGTTTCTGGTATTAGTAATATATTTAATTTATTAATAATTTTCATTTATTATTTAAAAAAATTTATTGTTTTACTTTAACTTAATTAAAGAAATTTATCGTGATTTAATCTTTTTTCATTTTACAATTTTAAATTGCTTTAAATATATATATATATATATATATATATATATTTATTTAGCGGTCTTAATTAGGTGTAGTGTGGACTTCACCATTCATTTAGGTGTTGAGTTTAAATTTAATTTTTTTTTAGTTATAATAAATTAATTTCGGTCATCTTTGAATTAAAAAAAAAAACAATGAAATTCAAAAATTAACTATTATTAAAAATTGAACATGTTTAATTAGACATGTTATGAAATTGAAAATTTTTTTTATTTCAGGTGTAAAATAGAGCTGGGAGATGTTACTCCACATAATATAAAACAATTAAAAAGGTTAAATTCAGTGGTTTTTCCAGTGTCATATAATGATAAATTTTATAAAGATGTATTAGAAGCTGGAGAATTAGCTAAACTTGGTAAATATCTATGCAGTATTAATCGAATAAAAAAACCTGTAACTAAAATAATTTCATTAGTATTTCGGTTTTAAGTACAGATTACTTTTAATTTATGAAATATTTGCATTGCTTAGTTAATTTTTAAACATATTACCTTCTTTTTTTTTTAGCTTATTATAATGATATTGTTGTTGGAGCTGTTTGCTGTCGCATAGATACCTCAGAAAACCTAAGGAGGCTGTACATTATGACCTTAGGTTGCTTGTATCCATATAGACGTTTAGGTATTGGTACTAAAATGGTAGAACACGTATTGAATTATGTTGATAAAGATGGACATTTCGATAGTATTTTTTTGTGAGTTTACAAATGTAATCATATCGAAGTAATTTTAAATTACATTTAATGTAAAATAAAATTTTTCTCTTTTTCAAAGGCATGTTCAAGTTAATAACGAAGATGCAATTGCTTTTTATAAAAAGTTTGGCTTTGAAATAGTTGAAACGAAAGAACGTTATTACCGAAGAATCGAACCCGCGGATGCTCACATGTTGCAAAAAACTCTTCGCCCTGGTTTGAAAGCATCATTGTCGAATGGAAAAATCACAAATGGTGAAATGAAAAATTACGATCAATGATTCATTTAATATTAAAAAATATCAAATAAAACTTCACACGATTTATACAATTAAAATGGCGTAAAAAAGTGATTTAATAATAATAATAATAATAATAATTGTTTTAACTGTTTGTTTAGTACAAGGTGTAGAGAGATCATTGTTAACTGCCTTCCACTTAAAATAATAATAAAATTTTTTTATAATTTTTTTAATTTTTATGAACTTTGTGAAAGGATTAAAAAATTTAAATCGAAATAATAATAATAATAATAAATATTTTTGGCTATCTTCATTATGTAATAATAATCACATTTTTTTTTTTTTTTTTTTATTAAATATAAAAATTATATCAAATCGAAACCAAAAAATAAAAATGAAAAAATTGTAAATTTTTAATATTTTTAACATAATTCAATGGAAATAATAAAAAAAAAAAACAAAGGAAAAACAAAAACATGATTATAAAATAATATTATGTCTGCTGTTATTTCAACTAGTCTTAAGGATTATTTCTTTTTATATTAATTTAATAATGATTTTGAATAAAATTTCAATTCTTTTTTTTTTTTTTTAATTTGTTTTTTTTTTTTAAATTATACTTAAGCCTTCTTTTATTGTGTAAAATACATTTTTAATTATTATGTACATTTAATTCATTATTACACGCACACACACACACAAACCGTTGTAATTATTTATTTATTTATTTTTTTTTAAAATTTTATATATACATAATGATATTAAAATGTGTTTTTTAAACTTGCGATGGTAAAAAAAAGTCAACCGATAATTTATACATAAAAAAAATATCTTTTATTTATTTATTTATTTATTTATTTTATATCATCACTTATTATTATTATTATTATTATTATTATTATTATTATTATTATTTATAACGGTCATAATTTCTTTTTCAAACGGCTAAAACGGTTTTTTTTTCTTTTTGACATCCGTAATGAACAACTTCACGCGTTGGCAATCGTGCAAAAGCGCTGAAACGATATTTTTTTTTTTTTTATTTACGACAAAACAATATGTCGTCGTGTGTATGTATACGAATTTAATAATAATACCTTTGATTCGTGAATCTTTTTTTACAAACGGGACAAACGTTCAATTCGGTCATGAGCACGCATTCGGATTCGTTTTTTAATCTTTCATCTTGTACTTGTAAGTGTTCCGCGTAAACAAGACCCTTCAATATTTGCGTCGTACGTCTTTCGTGTAATCTATTCTGGAGACACGTCTCCAAAAAATATTTGACTCTCGGTAGCGGTATGTTATCGGGTAACACGGATAACGCCTGAAAAAATATATAAAGTCGTTCACTCATGATTCGAAAGTAATAATAATAATAATAATAATAAAATTTGTTTTACAAAAAACATTATTATTATTATTGTTGTTGTTGGCGTTCACTTGCCTGAACGGGACTGATTTTATCCGCGTGTTCTTCTAAAATATTCAACGCGGTTTCAAGATCGGGTTGAACGTTTGAATTATGATGTTCTTGAAGGCCACCCAGCCAACTTTCCGGAGGACATATGAGAATTTTCATAAGCAAAACGAAAACTTCTTTCGATTCCGCCATTTGCCTACTGTAAATCTCTTCGCAATATTTTTTAGCTCTCGGTATGTTTTTCAAAACGCAAACGTATATAGAAAGTGCTTGCTCGTGAAATCCTTGCTTTCCCAACAAAATGGCTCTTTCTTCAAACATGCCTGGAAGTTAATAACATTTGTAAAAATTTTCTCTTACGATAAGTTTGGCACGACTTACAATCTTTTGGAAATTTATCCAATAACGTTTGAGGATTGTACGAATCGGAAAATTGTAAAAATTCTAATAATTTCCGCCTTAATTTTTCCGAATCTTCTTGGGGGGCGCCGGAATTTACCAATTCTTGATATTTTTCTTCGTATAAATTAACGAGAGTCGTGTGCAAAATCGGATTCATGTCTTTCCAAACATGTATCGCATGTTCCTGTAACATTTTAAGGATTTATTTTCCGAGTTCAGGATCATTTAATTAATGTGACTCATGTAATGAAGCAGAATTATTACTAAATATGGTATTGCGAGTTCTTTGTGTGTTGTAA